TCCCCCCCCCCCTCTAACACTGCATCACCCTTCCTACATCTTTCTCACAAAAAGTCGTGTTTTCAGCTTCTTGCATTGTTTCTCTTGCAGGAATGGACATCCTGACCCGCCGGATCGTGAACGATGACGGGGTGAACGTTGTCTACTACGTCTCCGACACTGCGGGCCAGGAGAGGTTCCGCGCCATGTTGCCCAGCCAAGTACGGAACTCCGATGCCGCGGTCATCGTTTACGATGTCACCTGTGCAGTAAGAACACTTTACGATGTCACCTGTACAGTAAAAACATTTTACGATGTCACCTGTACAGTAAAAACATTTTACGATGTCACCTGTGCAGTAAAAATACTTTACGATGTCACCTGTAAAGTAAGAACACTTTACGATGTCACCTGTAAAGTAAGAACACTTTACGATGTCACCTGTAAAGTAAGAACTTCTCGGCCTTTACTATTGGCTGAGACCAAAGTGTAGTATCTGTTCTCGACTTTTCCTTCGGCCTTGTGCCAACTGGTAAGTGGGACGGACATTGCAGAAGCCGATGATGTTTCTCCGAGCCTAGATTAATATATCTAGTGGATGTATTGCGGTCACCTTAAAAAAAAAACTTAGACAGGCCCTGCACGCACTTGGATTTTTATAACCTGTGCTGGCACACACCATGGTGATTCAAACGAAGGCCAAAACACCAAAGAGGCTATAAATATTACACCGGTCTTTTTTTGTGTGGTTTTGTTGCTGTTGGGGTTTTTTGGAGGGGGGGGGGGGGGGAGGTGGTTAGTGTTTACGGCGCTCTCAACTGCATAAGGTCATATGAGCGCGCGGGTCACATTACACTTTTTCAATTGGTAGGAATTTTGAATTTTGATCAGGTGGCGGCCGAAGCCTACTCATATATCGATTTTAGACCACCAAGGGATCTTTAACGATAACGTGCGCTACTTGCACACGGACCCTCCGAGATTTTCCGCCCTTGTCCGAGAAGGCTAGGTGTAGATCTTTCCAACCAGAAGATCAAGGGTGTGGCTAAAAGACAGCAGTAAGAAGGGGCCAAGGAGTAGCAGTAGAAAGGCTGCCGAAAGAGTCAGAGCCCAGAGGAGGGGGCAAAGGAAGTTAAGGGGTGGGGGCAGCAAGAGGAGACGAAAGCAGATGACAGAACATTGCTAGAGAGAAGGAAAGGAGGTGAAAGGAGACCATTTTAAAGAAGAAAATTTGTCGGCCGCTACCCGGGTGCAGTGGCGGAGCCGTTAGTGCGCTCGTCTCCGAAGCGGAAAGTCCTGGTTCGAGCCTCGGTTCGAACACAAATTATTTTCGTCCCCTCCTGCCCACCCACCAGCAATAGGTACCTGGCTTCGAATTGGGGAAGCAAAGGCAGCGTGGAAAGAAACTGGCCACCTTACCACAATATGCTGGAGGTCCAGGAAGTTGTCTCACCAAGGCAATCCCCAATGTCCGGATCGGATGTGGGAACAACTTTACTTTTTTTTTACCCTGATTCGAACCCGGGACCTTTGAATGAGAGGCCAACACCTTAACCTCTAGGCCACGAGAGCCCCCCACCAGTCTCGCTAGTGTCCATAGGTTCCAAATAGTGCCAAACGGTACTCTCCAAGGTGAACCGGAAATATTCCTGAGTGCACAGTCTTAGGTGGTATAATACAAATCTATGAATAAGAATATTAATAAAATATTATTATGGTTCTTCTGTGTGTAAGAAATATTTTTGCGGTACATGGTTTACACCTTCACTAGGAAAAGGGATTTCATTGTTTAGGAGGCGGGCTGCTTATCTCCTGCTTGTCATGGCCAACCTTGCTTGTTTGGAATTGATTACATCTCTTCAGAGAGATAAGATTTAAAAAAGAAAATCTTCCTCAAATGAGATGAAGAACTTATTTCACGTTGCATGCAAGACAAAATCTCTAACCATCTCACCACACACGCTGATTAAACATTTTGTATAGCCTACGCAAAGGCACAGAAGTGGGGAACGGGATTAATATAATAAGGCATAATGCAAAAATATGTAGTAGACCTACTGCAGCTGAGTATTTCTGCGTGCTTTATAGACATAATATTTTGACTCTTAGTCCTCAGTAGCCTATCCTGACTTTTATTGGTGCTGTTTAGCCTGTATTAAGTCACCGTACTCTATGAAAATAATGGGGGGGGGGTTCTATATGTACTCCTATATAACGCGAATGATAGATTAAATATATCTTCACTTGTTATGTTCTTTGAATTTATCTTCCACAGAAGTCATTTGAAAATGTCCGCAAATGGCTGCACTTTGTAATGAACAACATGTCCATCCACACGCCCGTCATGATGGTGGGGAACAAAGCGGACTTGTACCACCAGAGGGAAGTCACTTTCTCGGTAAGCAATTGGTTAGCGCAAGATATGATATATAATGTACATATATTTCCCGTGCTACCAAGAAAAATTTCACATTCGCACAATATAATGTTTTGTTATGTTATGTTATCTTAATCTTATCTTATCTTATCTGATCTGATCTTATCATTTTCGCCAGTATCCAACTGCAACCGTATATCCGTCAAACTCAAATTAAGCCAAACAGTTCTTCTGGGTATTTTTTTTTTCAAATTGTTATTTACAACCGCAAAATAATTACAACTGGTGGTAGCCTACATGTATTATGATTAAAACACTCTCACAAAATTTCCAGCAATTGTGGTAGATAATTAGAAAGGAATTTAATATGGGTTTTTCCCCCTAACTTTTCTGAAAATCATTGTTCAGGGACTTGCGCTGTTAGAGTCTGGTATCGATGATGAATGCTGTAGTATGTACTGTAAAGGAATGGGTTTAATGCACCTAACAACAACAGCAACAACAACTACAACAAACAGGTTATTTTATAGGCAAGATTTTCATTTTAACGTCAATCTTCAGCTGGATTCAGCCAAATATTTGAAAACTCGAACAATTGAAGTTGAAGATTTGAATATTTAAAATGGTCATGAGAATACCAATTTTTTAATGTGGTATACATTAACACAGTGATTTGCAAGCTTTTTAAGTCATGGAAAGTCAAGAAATTTGCTCAGTTTCTTCAGGCCCACTTTCAGATTTTAAGAGGTTCTGTAATAGAAAAAAAAGAAGAAAATTTAAATGTTTTTGACATCTGCATCCACAAGCTTGCTAAATCCTTCTAAATTTTGAAGTCTTATGATCTGTGAATAGGCCTTAACATGAGGTATAATGTTATAAAGATTTTAAAGAGAACTACTACAGAAATGATTTCATTTAGATCTAGTTTGATGTTCTTTACATTGTGTCTCTTTATGTTTATCAACATTTTCTTGATTCTTCTTTTATCTAAATGTGTATATATTTCCACGACAGGAGGGGCTGGAGGTGGCGGAAAGATCGAATCTCTTATTTGTGGAAACCTCGGCAAAGACTGGGGACCGGGTGGTGGCTGTGTTCAAACAGCTATGTAAGTACGCTGGACACCTGCATGGAAAAATATCTGTGTGGATTTCCTTTCAAAAGTTTGTTTTTCTCGACGTTACACCTCTAAGATTCTCTCTCTTTTTTTCTTTCTTTTTTTTCTTTCTTTTTTTTTTTTTGCAGCCTAAGTGTTTTACGTGCTCGCAACTGCATAAAGTCATAAGAACGTTCAGGATACATTAAACATTTTTAGTTTGGTAGGAATTAATTTTGAATTTTGCCCTGGTGGCGGCCAAAGACTACTCTTATCGATTTAAGGGACCACCAAATTACCTTTAACGTGTGCATCTTGCTCTCGGGATCTCCAAAATTTTCTCCGCCCTTGTTCGAGAAAGCTAGGTGTTAGATCCTACGGTACCCACCCTAAGATCAGGGGTGTAGCTGAAAGATGGCAGTAAGAAGGAACCAAGGAGAAGGGGTAGAAAGGTTGCAGAAAGAGTCAGGAGCCCAAGGGAGATGGGGATATGGGCAGAAAGTGGAGATGAAAGCAGACCACAGAACAAGGTTAGAGGGCAGGAAAGGAGGTGAAAGGAGACAATTGTAGAGTCATATATCTCGTCATAGGAGGACTTACAGGAATGTAAACTGAAAGCCTAGCTGTCTTGGATAACGATGATAAACTAAAAAATTCTGTGTGCTGACTGGGCACATTGTAGACAGTGTTGCAGTTGACACCAGAGTCTAGCTTGAAGACGAGCTGAAATGCTGTTTCATCATGTCCACAGTTCAGTTTTTATCTCATGGTTTTGTTTAGTCAGGAGATAATAAAACACTTTCTTGATTATCCTACTTATTCGTGTCCAGTGTTACCGGGCTATTCGTTCAGGTTTGGGGGGGTGTCTTATCTTTTTAAAAAAATCTATTTCGCTGATCTTACAGTAGTTGCACTTGCTATCTATTATTGTTATTACTTTTATTATCTTTATTATTATTTTCAATTATTACTTTATTAGGCTATTATTATTATCATCATCACCATCATCACCATCATCACCATCATCATCATCACCATTACCATCACCATTTTTCATCATTATTATTATTAAGATAATAATAGTAATAAATTATCATTATCATCATCATTATTATTATTGTTATCACCATCATCATTATTATTATTATCATTATTAATACTACAATTTTCCCTTCCTTTTCAAATTGGTCACGAGCAGCTACTGTTCTGCGGGACCGCAGGATGAATGACTTGTTTCGTGGAGAGCAGAGGCCCCTGAGAGAGCTGGGGATGCAACTCTCGAACTCTGCCGACGAGTACCCCAGCAAAAAAAGCTGCTGTTTATAACGGAGAAAGGATCAAAAGTCTCAAAATGTTCCGGTCAGTATTCTTGTTTGTCTTTTTGAGTCAATAGTGATACCTACAGAAAGAACCGTAAGTCCACGGAAAAGTACAGTGGGCGGAAACAATAAGATAAGGGAAAGTAAGGAAGAAAGAATTAGCCTACTTACAGTGCTGTCTGTCTTTCACGAAATCTATTTTGTCTTCCTTTCAATTGCATTCTAATAATTAACAATGCAGAACAATAAATATGAGCTATTGCTTAAAACTTTTATACAGAAGACATGCTTGATATTATGTACCCTGAACATAACTTGGTGCTAATAAAAATAAGCCAAGGAAAAAGTTGAAGAAAAAATATGTAGCAATGTCTTATTGCCTTGTGTCAACTGTCAGATATATTTTGCCTATTATAAAGCAATCTATTCTATTTGTGGATAGTACATTAAAATTTTGAAGCTGTTAGAGTTGGTCTATTGGATTTTTTTGCATTCTGTGATTGTAAGAAATTCACTGACTGGCAGGTATAGGCAATAACAGCATGTTTGAGATTATGTTCTGAGATTTTGTTTTCATTGGTCATTTTATAAAATACTTAAATATGTATGCGTGGTATGTTATAAGAAGTTGGCTCTTCTTTCTCTTCCCGAAAATTAAAATATAAATTGTCTTGTTCTTGTGTTAAAATAATTTGTGATTCAAAGTGTTAACTGGGCCATACAGATGCTAACGGTCAGGTTCAATTTAACGAATAATATTTTTTTTCTATTTTTGCAGTTAGCCAAGTACAAGGAGGAGTCAATTTCTCTGCACAGTGTATAGACGTGAGTGTGAGATGATGCCAATGTTTTTTGACTGGATGATATTGATGAACACAAATGAGGTAGAGAACCTGCAACTGGGGTGTAGGAAGGTTGAGGTGGTACTTTGTATTCTTCTGTCCCCTACAATGGATGTTTTATCTGACTTTACAGTCACTCTTGTGACCAGCATGCTTATTCTATCTTACAGAGTTTTCTTCTCGGAGAGGCCATGCAATGTTTCATTATGGTACATGCATGCTGCTTTCAAACTTATGTTCTTTCTTTATCTTATTCAGACACAGTTTGCTTATGTCCACTAATTAGGATTAGGACAAAAGGGTTGAACAAAGATTAAATATCCATCCAGATACAGTCACAAATGAAAAGCATGGACGCTCGGTAGTGAAATGAGGCAGCGGCTGAAATCCTGATAGATGATCCTACAGTGGTTGCACATCAATGAAAGACAATAGTATTTGTGGAACCTCACAACTTTTTCAGCAGGCAGAAAAGATCAAGTGCTTATAATAATAATATATATTCATTGTGTATTTGCTGCTGTGAAAAATGTCCTGAAGGCAGGGATACAGATGGTATTTTGTATCATGTACAATAGAGAAATAATCCTTTGCTTACAGCTGCTGTTCTTAGACTCTTGTAAGCTGGACGTTGATGAATACATGTACATGTATATAAGTGTATATATTATATAGTACTTTGTTGAATGCTTGCGTGGTGTGTGAAGAGTGATTACGGATGGGATGTAGATTTTAGGTTTTGCATCTGGACAATTCCATGAAAAATGAAACTGCAGTGACACACATAATCTTCTACAAATGGTGATCTGCTGAAAAAATTCTAAAAAGCGATAAAATTGATTTCATTTTGGTGTGTATGTATGATTTTTTGTTTGTTTGTTTGTTAGTTTGGGGTTGTTGTTTTTTTTTGTTTGTTTGTTGTTGTTGGTTGTTTTTTTGGGTGGGGGGGCGGCATTTGGTGGGTTTGTTTGAGAAAGGTTACTTTATCAGTTTTTGTAAAAAAAATGGCTCTATCATTGCTTAAAAATTTTTCAGCAGGTCATCATGTCTATGTTAGGTGTGTCAGTGCAGTGCCATTTTTCATGGAACGGTCCATCTGCTGAAAAGTGAGTGTCTGATTCTGACCACAGCTGCAGTGTCAGTGATAAGAACTGATAAGAGTTCATGGCATTTTGTCGTGGGTTAGGCCCCTTTCAACTACACAACTTTGAATGCATTATAATTCATACAATTAGTGTGCAGCATTCATCAGCTCTAGTACTTAATACTCAAAAAACAATCTGAAATGTGCCGCAAACGAAGTCTGGAGACATGTTGGAGAAGAACTTAATGCTTGACTACTTAAAAGACTCGTTTTGTATCTATGTTAGTAGAAGAGCTTTAATTATTGTTTATCTCAAATAGAGGAAACAAAAACCCTTGATACACATACTCAAACATTTTTTAAGTAGGCCCAAATGTTTTACACCTCCATCGACACAACTTTAGATAATTTAGGAGATGGGCTTCAACCCTTCCTGTCAGAGCCAACCAGTGTTGAGAACAGCGTTCCAACAGAAATACCAAGACACTCGATAAGAATTCTCTCCATGTGGGAATCTCCCTTGTGTCTTCTGTGTGAGACAGTGAAGTGCCTAACCTCTTCACCAGAGATGTCAGCGCTCAAACTCTATATTGACTATCATACACTTTTATTACAAAGTGGTCTCAGTGTCTTTACTGCCTGTAGTGCCAGACCATGTCATTCCGTGAGGCACTCGACGTATTGGTCACTGCTTCGGCTATACATTCCCTAAAATATTATCTTCTAATCAATTCATATTCATACATGTACTTATGGAGAAGACTCCAATATTTTTGTTTAATCTAAAAGCTGGGAAACCAAATGATATTTAAAAGTTCTGATCACATTTTTAAGAAGTGCAATCTAAGCTATCTGCAGTGGAGTATCTTGCTATAACAGTCACTTGTTTTTGTTATTAGCGTTTTTTGTACCAAGTGTACCACACAGAACTCAGGTCCATAATCTGTTTGCCACGGATGACATGCTGAAAGCTCAGTACATGTACAAGTAAGTCAACTCCTAAGTGCAGTAGTGCAAATGCGTGCCCCACAATCATGTGCTCAGTAATTTCTAGAGTGAATAAAAACTATGACTATATGGAAGCCTATAAGTCATTAAAATGTATATCATACATGTATTTAAATATTCACTGTGCCTTATCCCATACCATTTACAAAAATTATTCAAACAAATTTCATGGAAAAACGGAAATGCTGTCTCACTCTTAGCAGTTTTCAACATATATGAAAGATGCTCATTTCAAAAGGGAAGCACACCCTCATCAACGCCAGGGCTTTCAAATCAGGAAATGTGAAGTTAAATTTTTTCTTGTGCATGTATTCTGGGTCTCACCGTCTCAGACAGCATCTCATAATTTATACTTGCTTGCTATGTTGCTAGTTCATTTGGTGTCATTATTTTCCTTCTTTTTCGGGGGGAGGGTGAGGGGGGAGGAGGAAGGGGATGTGAAAGAAGATGCAGTTTTATCTGGCTGAGACAGGTTTGCGCAAAGATTTACTCTTATACCATACCAAAGAACTCTGCCAAGTGTATGACTCGTCATGAGTGCAATTTTCAGTTCTCTGCTGACATATAATCATCGTTCTGATTTGTCCAAGTCATCTACTTCTCTGCATAATATTTGTACATTGTAAATTATACTGTCAGACCTGTCTAACCACCCATTGTCCAGAAAAAAAATGGTAGTCTTAGACAAGTGGTCCTCTCAGTGTCATTATAATGTACAATAGAAAAAAAAATCTTTACAGGGGGTGGGGAGTGATTGTTTGGGAAGGTGATTTTCTTGGACAAGTGGTCGTTAGCACTCTAATGGCCACCTGTACAAACGACAATTTCCCACTTCTTCCCTTGTGGTTTTTAAAAAAATGCTAGAATGACTCTGTCCATCAACCAATTTTAGAATGACCACTTTTCTCCTTGACAATAGGTGCCATCTTGGACAATTTCGACTGTATTTGTACATAGGTGGTCCAATAAATGTACAAAATACCTGTGAATCTAAGTGTTAATGTGTGAATATTTTTCCATTTCACCTACTTTTAATCATTGTCCATTTAATGAAGATTTTTATAAATGTGAAGCGTGCTGACAAAATGAGCTCGGATTTGAGCCCAATGGAAATTGATACATTATGCTTATAAGTGAAGTTTTTACGATTTATAGAAGTATGAAATAATAAAAAAGGCATGAGTTATACTTAAAGAATATGGCATCAATAGAAAATCTACCAAATTTGACCCTATTGTTGATTTTCAGCCAATATCTCCATGTCGGTTACAAGAAGTAACTCATTTTGTCAGCATGCCTCACAAATGTTTTCTTTGATATAAAAATTCACATGAGTCCAGTATATACCGGTAGTAGAAGAATGCAATGTCGTGCATGATCTCTCAATTTTTTTATGACTTCATTATATACTGCCAAATGTGTGCATCTAGTTCTAGTCAACTGCATTTGTAATGATAATACAACGTCATGTCTATGGGAAGTGCAGTATAATTCATTGTCTGTGTCAGCTCTTGTTCCATGTTATTATGATTAATATTAATGTAATGGACATTAAAGATTTGAATGTAATAGATCAAGTCTTTTGCTTCGAATTTGTTTCACGACATATATCGTGTGTATTTGAAAGTTTTAGATAGATTCTTAGTACACCTGGTATTTGGAAAACAAAATTAAATACTGAGGCACCAGCAGGCTAGCAAAAAAAAATTCTGAACTTTTTGGACCCTGTGGAAAGGCATGAGTGGGAACTCAAAACTTATGTATATTGTGATAATGTTTCTCCCAATACCCTCACTAGATATACACATTATAAGATATCTAGATCGAAAGGGGAAGTAGAACATTCCCACATTCCCAAGCTGCCTCCTACGTAAATAAAAATTTATTCCACATCCTCCTATGTAAAACTATAGACCAACCTGGCGGCCTCAAAAACTTAATTCAATTCTCTTAGAGATGCTAAAACTCTAAGGGTTGAGCTGAAGATAATCTTCTATCATTCAACTGAACATTGACTGGTACTGTATAGGATCTTCAGCAGGAGTTAAAAGTTCTGATATGAATCTCTTATGAAAGAATTAAGTGGAAGAAAAGAGCATAATAATAATATTGTCATGTGCCACAAGAATCAGATTTGAAGAATGCAGTCACTGTTACTGTTGTGTTTATGAGTAGTGTACTTCAAAATAGCGGTTTCGAAAACCAAGACTTATGGTCCTCAACTCTGCCATGAGACCAAAGAAAGGGGAGGTCTATTCTACAGGAATTTTATAATATGTACAGTGGAAATCATAACAGGCCCGTTAATAACAGGGATCTGGTAATAACAGGGGTTTTTAGATCCCCGTTTTTTCTTACTCTTTGTCTCTGTTAAAAGTTATTGGCAATAACAGGGCCTCATCGGAGCTCAATCAGTTATAGCAGAGACAAAGGCTCGCTAACAATGTGTAAAAAGTAAGAGCGAGAGAGAGAGCGAGAGAGAGAGAGAGAGAGAGAGAGAGACAGAGAGAGAGAGACAGAGAGAGAGAGAGAAAGAGAGAGTCCGTAACGCAGTGATGGAGCGAACCCACGTAAGACACGCCACTGCAAGCACACGCGGCGAGTGAAGCGAGAGAGGGATGCGGTGTGCTGCAGACTTCGATCTATCAAAGCTACACGAACGCGTAATAAATATGTCATGTGCAGGCCTGCCACATGGCCCCCTTACCCACGAACAAATACAACTGGATTAGTCCACAAATACTTACTTCCCCTGCATTTCTGATTTAACAGGGATTTGATCTAACAGGACTAACTTTTCTATGGTCCCACCATCCCCGTTATATCGGGTTTAGACAGTACGGTAGTTGATATTGGCCTTATGTTAGTTATGTGTGGACAGGCTACAACGTTAGCGTCAGTAAAGTTAATAACCAACTACATGAGAGGAACTGAGGAAGGGTCTCATGCACATAGGATATTTTCTTTTTATATGTGATAGAAAGGCAGCAACTCCACTGAACAGTACACAGTCAGAGGTGCAGACTGGCCATGATACACAGTCCTCAATTTTTCGGACCAATGGAAACAGACGCGCAGGGACTCAGAATGTACAGATATGTATTGTCTTATTCACCTCGTGTAAAGACAATTTACAACAAATAAACGCAAAGTTCAATATGCTGATATTTTCAAAAATCCATTGTGTTTCCGGATTTATCTGGAAAATAAGCACCTCTAGCAATATGAGGAAAATTTTGAGACTCAAGATCAGTGCTGCAAAAAGAGCTTTGAGCTAAACACAAGCAGACGGAAAGCTCTGTTAGGGAAATGAAAAGGGATTTATATTCAACACTATTACTACTAGAATTTACCACGGCACTAAAGTAAATTACGGTGTAAAGGAATTTGCGAAAAGGAATAAGAGTGCAAAAAGGTAGTTATTTAAATTTTTGAACAAAAGGCAAACACAATCAAGATCTGAAGCACAGTTTAAAGCATTTATTATGAAAAATATTTGTTGCCGTTGATGTATACAAGTACCAAGTACACATAAAGCAATGTGTGTCCTTCAAAAGTAAATTCCTGACGAAAGAACTAAAGAAGCTCACTCATGCTTAGAAAAAAAGTAATAGATGCCTAAAGGGTTGAACGATACTTGACAGAGTATCCAATATCATTCAAGTGGGAAGGAGGGGAAAGAGGGGGGGGGGGGGGGCTAGCATATGTGCATCCATAGAACATGTACTCTAAAACAAGTACACAAGGAATTCAGGGACATGTATTACATGTATTATGTATTATGACAAAGAAGAAAGCTTTTTGGGAACATGTCAGTACAAGATGTATTTGCATAATGATATATCAACACATAAAGTCAAAGTAATAATGTTTGTGTACGAGACTGGGTTTTTTTATTGTTTTTTTTGTTTTGTGGTTCACTGGCTGTGTGTGTGTGTGTGCGTGCATGAGAGAGATAGGCATTGATACAAACACACACACACACATACAGACAGTGGGGGAGAGGGAGAGAAAGAAAGAGAGAGAGAGAGTGAGAGAGAAGGGGGAAAGAGGGAGAGACAATGAGAGACGGTTAAAGACAGAGAGAGAGACAGACAGACAGAGAGAGAGAGAGAGAGAGAGAGAAAGACAGAGAGAGAGAGAGAGAGAAAGACAGAGAGAAAGAGTGAAAGAGAGAGAGAGAGAGAGAGTGCAGAGGAGATAAGCCTCACAAGTACCACTTTCACTGTATGCCAAGGATATTTCCACCACAAAACATGCCATACTGGTTAGTGAAAAAGAATATTATGTCAGAACCTATGACAACAACGACACTATGGTGATGTGGCATTGGATAGTGCTGGTAAAGCCTCATTCAGATCAACTACACTACTGCAACTACAAAGTTTAAAAGCACTACATGTATTACAACTACTACAGCCACAGTGGTGTCCACTTAACAGTCGGCCTAACCCATGATTGACTGAGTAGATGTTTTACGGCACCATCGACACAATTTACAGCCATCTGGATAAGACCAACCTCTGTCTTAAGTTTAGTAGAGGGTTTAACGGCGCTCGCAACTGCATAAGGTCATATGAGCGCCAAGGGGTGGGTGTCAACAGAGAAGTCTTTACAGGGAATCAGACTTACTCTGCTACCTCTCTAGCTTCAACTTCAACAGCACAAGGTCTGCTTCGACTATCAAGGCATCCCAGAAATAGCAGGTCACAAGAGTGTGACAAACATACAAAAGAAGTAGAGGAAAATGACAATAGTAAGGATTAGGAAAGAAAAAGCAGCAGTTCCCTGTTGTAGATCAGGCACAATTATGAGCGTGACATGACTTCTGTCTACTAACAGCAAGCTAAACTTATGTAATGGAATGTTCCTATACTATATAATGTATACGCACATGTACTTGGTTACAAGCAGATCTACCTTCCTAAAGGAGTAGAGCGGTGCTAAACACTTAACACTGAAGAAACATTGAGAAAGGGGGCAGGGGGAAAGATCAACTCTCTTTGGATGTGTTTTAAGAATATGCATTAATATATAAAATTAATTGCCACTTTTGTGAGAAATCATCATACCTGAACCTCTCCTTACCTCATCAACACTTTCCCTCACTCCGCATCATTGGAATAACCAGAGGGCACTGAGACACAATCAAAATCAAACTTGCTTGTTTGTATGTTTTAGCTCGAGTTTTTTTTTTTTATGGCACTTGCAACACAATTAAATTAGGTCACATAAGTGCCAACAATTAGAGGTGTTACAAGAGAGTAACAGACAAACACAAAAAAAGGAGAGATCAGGATAGATGTTTGATAGGAAAGAAGGAGCAAACCACACCAGAGCACCCCACTTATCAAACTTGCAACCTTGTGTAAGATGGGTAACGAGGTATGGACTTGTACGTGCAAAGAGGGACTGACTTATTTCTGTGTGTACTGTAAGCCTGCAGTTTTGAGGGTTATAATTGCCAAGTTTTCCTTTTTTATTGTGCCAAGATTTATTGACACATGAGATAACTGATCATAATATTATGACTAGGGAAAGGGAGAGGATATCAGTCAGCACTTGGCACATAAAGAGTTACCGCGTTCTCAACCAAATTGTTTTGTCTAAGTAAATAGAAACACATTGACATTGACACAAGAATGTTCATTTAGCGCTGGGAAAACGTAAGACAGAAACAACAGAGCAAGATAAAAGAAGTAGGACCCAATTGTGGCACACCTTCCCTCCCTCCCCCCCAAAGCATTAACTCTCTTAGCCGCCAACTTTTAAGGAAGGCAGACAGATAGAGAAATATGGACACAGACAGAGTACCTGGTTCATAGCTACATTTCAAAGGCAGACCTTGTTTAAAAATTTACTTCTGCAAACTTTTATATAAAAATACACTGCATTAATGCAGTAGAGAGTTAGATCTATCACAGAGGATGATTTTACTGTCTTAACTCTTCTAAGAGTGAGAAGTCGGCACATCAACTGACAAGACACTGCATTATAGCTTTGTCTTGTTTTCATCATTTATCATAAACATCTGCTTGTTGCCACTATAGTATTATAACTGTGTCTTCATATATCAAATCTTTCTTCTTTCCTAAAAATTTGGTGGGTTACAAGCTTGTAGTCTGAAACCTTTTTTAATGATGAAGATGCTAATACATTCTCAAATTAAACTTTTTGCGAAAAAGCTGACGATTTGTAAACACGTATGCCTGTGTGCCTAAAGTCATGCGTAAATATAAAAGATAAACAGAAAATACTCAGTGGTGACAAATGGGAACAAAGTATGCAAAAACTAACAGAAAAATAGAGTTTGTGTGTCATGAGGTGAGCACATAATGTAGTTTATACTTTATCAAAACAACGAAGAAAAACCCAGCTTAGTCTGATTCTGACAACCTACACCATGGCTTTCAGTTGGTTTTGATCAAATCTGTGACCACCCCAAAAGAGGCTGAAAAAAAAGACAGTGGAGAAGATTTCAATGTATAGGAGTGAGAGAAGGACAAAGAGGATAGGAAGACAAAAGAAACACGATACAAAAGAGTGGGAATGACAAAGGGCAATAAACAGTAAGTAAGTTGGTAAGTTCTCACACAAACTGAAAACTTTGAAACATGTGAAATAATTTAAAACGAGACTCAATTTGCTTCTTCTCTAAAATCTCTATTTACAAAGAACATCATCAAAAACCATAGACTAATACATTAAAAAATTCCGCCTAAACTTATGATATCATAACTGCAATAGTCAAAAAATAAACACACATAATTCCAAAGCAGCTTCAATGTACCACGCGTGAGTGAACAGACCTTGCAAAACTCATCCCACTTTCAAACATTTAGATCTTGAGCTTTTGGCAGTCTTAGTTGCACCAGCCACTGACACCTCTGAGCAGCACAGTTTAACAGTAAACATATTATATTATATTACCAAACATATTTCTGGTGGCAATCAAAAGCACAACATATTAAAAAAAGTCATGCCCAAAACTTCGCTAAAAATTAAGAATCATTAGTTGCAGCGAAACAACCCAGCCAAAAAGAAAGGCTTCCTCAAACTTTTGCGTCCGAGATGGCTTGAAGCTGAAGCAAAGGCATTAGAATTTCTTGCAACGGTTGGCTGGAGAGAATCACAGCTTGAAAGGGACATTTTTACGTCGTACCTCCAAAATGTTGGACAGCCATTTTCAGAAAACATAAAGACTACAAAATCAACCAAGAACAGGACTTAACTCACAAAGTGGTAAAAGAGCTACAGGTCCGAAGAAATAACAGCCCACAACTACTTAAAACTATCTCAAAACTTTTAAACATTCAAAATATATTAACAATTTCAACACCAAAAGAATAATAAGAACCATTTTGGGAGCAAACGTTCATTTCATTATCATTCCCATAAGTTGAACAGCTCAACAGCATTTTGACTGAGGTTTGAGCTTTTACTTTTATAAAAACTTGAAACTTTTGGGGAGGAAAAAATAATATGTCTCTAAATTATGAGCCCAGTTTCTTTTGCGTTTGTTTGATAAAAAATAATGAACCCAAGAGAGTTTGTCAAGATATTTTTTCCCTCCTATTTTTCTAAAAAGCTCATTTTTGCTACCAAGGACCAGACAGCCCTGTCAATCAGTTGATACACGTTAACGAAATGTATTCCTGTCAGTTCTTCGAACGAGGCATGTCAAGTGTCCTACCACAAGGAAACCATTCTTTTTGTCTGTTGAAGCAACATGGTCTTATCCTTTTAAAAAGTTTTGTTAAAAATAAAACACATAAAAAGTCAGAGTTAAATTCCCTTTAAAAAATAATTCTGATTATTAATTTGATAAATCTACTCCAAAACATTGTGTAAAAAATATAGCAGAATGAAATTCTGGCAATATCCTCTCCAAGCAATAATACATTTCTCTTTCACATCCATTCCTCTCTTTCAACCCAGCACATTATGATTAACAACATTGGTCACAGCATACATTGAAATGCATCATCAGGTTAGTTCCCAAGGTGCTCTCTGCACTCTCTCTCTCTGTTTCTCTTTATCTGCCTCTCTCTTGGTCTCTCTTTATCTGCCTCTCTCTCAGTCTCTCTTTCCCTGTCTCTCTCTCCATGTCAGTCCCTCTCATGCTCTCTCTTTTTCTCTTGGTGTCTCTCTCCCTCTCCCTCTCACTCTTTCTCCTTCTGTTCTAAGTGTCTCTCTCTCCCTCTCTCTTTCACTTGCAGTGAGTAGTGAGGACACCAAGAACTTCTCTGCACAAAGCAAACAAATCTACTCTTAGAGTCAACATTCAAAGACACCACTTTTTCTTTTATAAACAAAGTAGCCGGCAAATACAGTACATTATTTCAGTTAACACTTTAGTTTTGCTGTGTTTTTATACAATGAGGAAAGCACTCACAAATATTTGATTCGTTGCAGAATTCAGAATGCTCATTTCATATAAACTATCCAGAGAATTCAACATCAACGAGAGCCACCACCACCACCTGTAGGAGATACAGTGGACACGGTCAAAGCCATTAAGCAGTCATGACACGACCATACAGTTTCTATACCTGCATCAAAAAACTCAAGACCACAGATTCTCAAAATATATTCACAACAATTATCCTTTGCATCCGCAAAAACATTTTTGTCACCTACCATAACAAGCCCACAGTCCAGCAAAAGACAGCATGAGAAATGATAATGTAGAAAAAAGCTTTTGTATAAAAAAATGAGGTTGACAGCTGCATACTCACTCGACTCCACGGACACATGGTTTAGTAAAACATGCTTTAAAACAAATCTAGGCCACATCGCAACAAAGAAACTGCTACAAACAGAAAGGTGCATTCATCTCTGTTTTGATTGGCCACACTATCCATTGGTCTACTCACTAGGAAAGAAGGCAGAGTACATTAAAAAGAAACTAGTGTCTCACATAATGAATTTTGAAAACTGCTAATCATTCACTTCACAACAAATACATGCATGGATCAGGATTAGCAAATTCATAAAGGCGTACATGGTTCATTAAAAAACATTGGATCTTATCTTTTAGTTATATATTGTGCAATACATCGGAGTTCTGCAAAGCTAAAAATCAGCAGCAAAATAGAGACATCAGATCCAGGATTTTCTGTCCAGTGCGATGTAGGAATGTGCACCTGATGTGTTACAGCCAACATATAGAAAAAAACAATTCCCCCTCAGCTCCACCACAATACAAAAGTCACAGGCACTGCCCTGGTATTAAACTGAACCAAAGTCTTGAGCGCTACAAACAACAGAAATCCCTCACGACAACAGATCCCACCACTCTCTGTCCATCTCTCCATCTGTTTAATGATAGCAACCCAGCCAATGGCACTGTGAGAAGTTCCAAAACAAGGACTACATAGATTTTAAAGCTTTCTGGTTACACAGACTAGCATACAAAGTTCACCTTACCGTCCCTTTTCCTGGTGCCAGCATTTAAAACGTTATTATAGTATGTATACAAAATCTTTGTCCCCACCTCATTTCAATCACCACTTACTCCGTATTGCCGTTTACATGTCACATCAAATATTGGGTACACTGACAGCTAATGTTAAAGCAACACCTTCACTGACTTTATCTTATGACATAAGGTCTATGTGAGCGTGTGTATCAATGCAAACACTATAGCTACATAGAGTGTAGGCACAAATGTAGCAGTCTCTTTAAGTATCCTTTCTTTAAATGTAGACTTTGTTGTGAGCACTTGAGAAGGCAACTTGAGGAGCCAAGCACAGCGAGTACACAATCATCGGGAGCAAACATCAGTTTCAAATTACTCAAACTTCCTTCTTGCTTCCATTTCAAATTGCTGTACAGTATCGTCACGGCATGGCTCAAGCACATTTTTAACACATGCTGAAACATCAAGTCACAAACAACTGACAATTCAAACAGATTTGCAAAAATGCACAAGTAAGGTGTTGCAATATGGTCCACTTCAAATTCAGAATTTGCATATATAAAAATGAAATTGCTGACTGGATTTTATAACAGAAAAGCTAGGTTAACAGGTTGGTTTGTTTGCACTGTTAAACCTTTCGACACACACGCACTGCGTTCCTCTCAGGGTTATTCATGCTCAGGGTATGGGCAAACACTTACACTATGACTATAATCCTTTCATGTGTACAAGTGCATTGGTACTACTAACTTCCTGTAACAGTGTAACGAAAAAGTCACAAACACCACAATACCAGGAATGACGCTACACAATTTTAACACTGCATCAGTGACACGGATACACTGCAAGCAGGCAAACTTTTGGCTACACCACACAAGCAATCATTAGGCCATGGGTAGAAATCCAGCTAGATGGTAAGGAAAAGATCTCATCTGTTCTCTTCAAGGAGGCAGAACCCTCTACCATTCCACCACTGATGTTGTAAGAACACAGTTGCCACAGATATCCAGTAAATCATTTTGATTTTCACACGCAAAACACAGCACGAGAGCTTCCCAGGAATATTTAATAGACAAAAAAACAACCTGGAAGCACTGGTGATTTCTGGCAGACATGGGCACATAAGAGACGGTTGCGTTAGAGGACTCATATCGGGAGAGTAGTTCTGTAGGGTACGTGCTGTTGCGCTCCAACAATCCAGGAAATTTGCAAGATAAAATATTGACTTCCTGTGCCTGAGACACATGGCGGCATGTGGAGATCCTTAGTCAAGATTCATCTCAACAAGATTCTGAACTCGTAAGTCGTAAGTAAAAGAGGTGTGGAAACACTCTTGCTAGAATAAATATATGATGATGCATGGTCTTGAAAGACCTGTAGATTAATGTATATCCAGGTGGAGATGTCTGTGGAGATGTCTGATGTAGCAAGCCAAAGTACAGATGTAGAGGTCTTGTTTAGATAGGCATGTGAGCCTGTTGGTAGAAATCCGGATCATCTTCCTCATCCAGGTCAAAGGCTTCTTCTTCTTTGTCCAACTGCAAGAAGAAAAATAAAAGTATGAATATTTTAGAAATGAAAGCAGCAAAACTTAACATTCCAGTCACTCCAAATAAGAACATTATCTGAAAGAAGAAAAAAAAGCAGAAGACTAACACAATAAAAAACATAACAAAAGTTAACTCTCTCTGAACAAGGGCAAATCAAAATTTACTTTCAATGTTACAGTTTGAGGAGTAACTTTCTTCCTTATATAAGTGACCCTCGGCTTTTCATTTTGAGAGCTTAAAAAGTAATCAGCTTTTTAGTTTTAGTAAGAGTTTTACAGCACTCACTTGCAATACAAATAGGCCTTAAAAGCCTTAAGTGCGGAATATTAAAGATATTACTAGAGAGTAACATACATCATGTACAAAGAAAAGAAGAGTTAAGAATGAGAGATGTTTGATAGGAAAGAAGGAGCAAACCAAAAAAGAGCACCCACAAACCACCTACTAATCAACTCCAGATCATAACAGGTGGTGTATACAAACTAGCAACATCGCTGTCTTTACCTCTAATTCATAAAATATACTGTCACACATAGTTTTTTCAGTTTTAGTAAGAATCTTACAGCATCAATACAAATATGTCATATACATGTACCTGCGGAAAATAAAAGGTGTCACTAGAGGGTAACATACAAAGAAAAAGAGGAGGGGAGATAAGTATGACAGATGTTTGATGGGAAAGAAGGAGCAGACCACACCAGAGCATCCACCAACTGCCCACATAGTGGCACTATTAAGGCACCAAACTTACCTCTTCTAATTCTTCTTTGCTAAAGAACCGAACCACAGCCTTCATTCTCAGCGGCACCAACAGGATGAGCATGAAGGGGAAGGCGAGTGCGGCCTGTGTCGACTTGATGATGAGGAGGAAAACCAGGCAACCCAGCTGGATCAGCGTGAACTTGTGCATGGCCATGGTCCGCACCTGGCAACCAGAATCAGTATATATGTATACAAATGTACACAGTTAAGGTTAAGGGAGGTATGGAAGGAGTGAGAAGAAAAGGTGATAGTGAGGAAGAAGGAGAGGGAGGGAGGGACAGAGAGGAAGAGGGAAGAGCTGAGGTTTGGGAAGCAGGTGGGGAGTGAGAGGAAGAGGTAGAAGATGAAGGAGTGAAAACAAAGGAGGGAGGAAGAGTAACAGGGATTGAGGAACAGGGACAATTGCAGAACATTTAAACATCACAAAGATTGCTCTATAATACAGTAATAAAGCAACACAATAACAGAAAGCAAAAGAAGACAAATGGTGAACGTGATACCTGGAAAACCAAAAGACAACTGAAAAATGATTAAACATCATATGAGCAACAAAAAAGGAAAGATATTCTAAGTCTTGCAGAAACAAAACAAAAGTATTGACCTTTAAAAAAAGATAGAGCATTCTCGAACAGTCTACCCCTGCTTAAGAATTCACATCATCACACAATACTGTGGGACAGCTTTTCCAAAAGAGAACTTCATACTGACAAGCAGGTTGAAATACACACTACCCCTAACATTCATCTTGTAGAGTCAAATCTACTTTAATGGCCACCTTTCTCCATTTTCCTGCTAGGTTTCTTATATCCCCCTCAGCGAAGGTTGACCATGACAGGCAGGGCTGCAGCCTGCCTTCTAAACGATATAAATTGGGTTGATGAAGGGTGTGAAACACTTACATCCAAAAAGGGGGGAAAATGAAATAAAAAAAAGGGGGGGGGGGGGGGGGGGGGGAGTAAAATCCTCGTGTCTTGCTCACCTTACGGACGTAGCTGACCGACGGATGGTACTTGACGGGCATGAGCAACAGCTTGATCCTCTCAAACATCTGCACACCACTCATGGCCGACACGCCCAGGTACAGGAACACGCCGAACAGAGCTGGCACAGGGATGGCCCGCAGGACGGGGCCCAGGCCGGCCGACAAACCTGACGGAACAAATTTCAACAGGAGTTAAGGGAAAGCTTCAGTTTAGTAAGAGTATTACTGCACTTGCAACACAAAAAAGTAACAAGAAAAAGAAGGAGGAGAAATAAAGGCGACTGATGATTGATAGGAAAGAAAGAGAAAATCACACCAGAGCACCTGCCAATCACACACAGCTTCAATTTTATTCCTAAAGCATTTCCATAAAAAGCTTGTGAGCCTTACAAAGGTTTTGGAAAAATAATTATCTTACAGTAAACGTTTCTCGATTTGGACTTTAGTTTTACTAAGAGTTTTACAGCACATGCAATGCAAATAGGTCACATAAATGCCAAAGATTAGAGTTGTTACTTCAAAGAAAAGAACGATGAGAGGTAAGTATGTCATATGTTTGATCAGAAAGAAGGAGCAAAACCACACCAGAGCAGCTGCTAACCAATCAACCAGCCCAACAGTGTCCTCACCTATCAACAAGTGCACGGCAAAGTTGGTGACCCTCTGCTCTTTGACCCCCAGCAGCTGCGGCTTCTCTCCGGGGGCATGTGTCCGACTGTACTCGCTGAGCGCACTGACGTGAGCGACAGTCCGCACGGTGGCCGCACACATCCACGGCAGGCCAAACAGGCCACCCACGAAGGTCAGGAAACCCAGGAGGAGCTGGTCCACGTGGTAGCCCGAGCCTTTCTGGAGCTTCCTCTCTTTCTTGTTCAGGATCATTCTGAAGGAGTAAAGCAATAAATGATGGGTTTTCGTTTAGGACTATCCTCAAGGGGTAAAGCAACAATTTAAGGGTGTTAGTTTAGGATCACTTTGAGGGAGAAAAGCAATAATTTATGGGTTCTTGTTTAGGATCATTCTGGGAGAAAAAAACAAAAATTTATGGGCGTTAGTTAATGATCATCTTGAGGGAATAAAGCAAAATTTTAATTATGGGTTTTAATTTAGGATCTTCCTCAAGGTTAAAGCAATAATTTATGGGTTTTAGCTTTGGATCATTCTCAAGGGGTAAAGCAACAGTTTATGGGTTTAAGTTTTGGATCATCCTCATGGAGTATAGCATCATCCAACAGATCAGATGTACCAAGTCCCTTAATTTTGAAAACAATATTTACTGTAGTTTTTAATTTCGGGTACAGGTTGGACGTGCTTGAGAAAAATGTACAAATTCTAATTCTAATTGTTTAAAAGTTGAACTAGGACTCACTCTGTGATCTGAGTCTCCATGAAGAGAAGAATAAAGATGAGGAAGCCCGGCAGGATGGCTGCGAAAGCGATCCACACAGGAGTGGAGCTGTGTATTCCTGTAGGGTTGATGAACCATGGCCTTGATGAGGAGGTCGGGGTCAGGGGGTCCGTTATGTCCAGTTTCTGGAGAGCAAGAAAGAGAAAAAATGACCTTCTAATGGTGTTACTATAATAATAATAAAAATAATAATAATTTCTTTTAAAAATTAAAAAATTAATAATAAAATAATAATAATAATAGATAGCATTTGTATAGCGCAAATCCCCGCTCAACAGCAGGCTCTATGCGCTTTACACTATATTATTACCCCAGCAGACCATAGAACACTCCGAAACATTCTCAGCTTCCCGGGAAGCATACAGTGCAAGCAGCTGATTAAGCGCTCAAACACTAACATACTGACAAGATCTTTCGCTGTCTATAGCCGGGTACCCATTCCCACCTGGGTGAAGTGAGGAAAATTCGTGTAAAGTGCCTTTCCCAAGGACACAACGTCGGGTCCCTGACGGGATTCGAACCCACGATCTTACGGTTGCGAGTCCGAGAAAATAATATTAATAATAAACAATGAAAGTGCTCAATACATTTTTATTCCTATAGCACATTACCGCAAGGAAAGTGGTCAATTCAATTTACAATAATTAAAAAAACATGCACCACACAGTTCCAGAGATTCTCTCTCTCTCTCTCTCTCCCTCTGCTCTCTCTCGTTCTCTCTGCTCTCTCTCTCTCTCTCTCGTTCTCTCTCTCTCTCGTTCTCTCTCTCTCTCTCTTCCTCCCTCTGCTTTCTCTCTCAGCCAATTGAGAGTTTACAATTATCCTTACTCCTGTCCCTCCCACTGTTAGTGAGAGGGAAAATACATCCAGCAGGAACAATATTTTATGCTCTATCAATAATTTATGTCATCCAGAAAGCATATGGCACTTTTTTTAAAGTAAGCATTTTACAGCACTTGCAATACAGTTAGGTCATATAAGAGCTGAAGATTAGAGGATTTACAAAAGAGTAACACGCACAAAAAAAAGGAGGAGAGACAAGGGTGATAGATGTGTGATGGGAAAGAAGGAGCAAACCACAACAGAGCACCCGTCAACCACCCACCAGGCTGTGTTGAGGGTGGTAACAGGGGGAAAAAAAGGCTGCATGGAAAAACATCCAAGGGTAGTTGTTGTGGACAATTTCGACTGTAGTATAATTAGTAAGTTTTATCAAATGTAACAGTTCAACTGACCTGTACATATGTCTCGTTCATGAGCAAGCCCAGGAGGGTCATAGACAACAAGGCAATCAGCACCCCGAAGTCTCCCAAGGCACGCCGAACCTGCAACAGAGACACATAGAATTAGAAATATTTTACATATCAGCCTTTTCCTCTCATTGCAGTCACATGTCATACATAAAGTCAAATGGCCACAAAGACACAACACAGCTTATTTTGAAGGCAGAGCACATGGTCCTTCAGTCCAGATAAAAGGTAAAGAGGAATTAAAAATTTGCTACCACACAAAACAGTTACAATGTTCGCACCATCATATGACAACACGAGAATATCATATAGATGTATTAGGACTTACTGAACATGCAAGCATGAAGAAATGTCATTCAAGAGGGCAAAGCAAAACAGTCACATAATTGTATGATAAAAAACAAAAACTTAGAAATATTTCAGGCTTCAGAAAAGTGGCGATCCACAACGAAAAATATAAGAAAAATTAATATCACCTCCCAGTGAAGATTTAATACTACTTACACTTCGCCCAAAGAACTTGCTGTTTCGAAACACCCTCAAGAAGTAAGCGATGAGGAAGGTCCCCAGTGTCAGGATGAGAGACATAAGGGCGGTGTTTGGCTGGTTCTTTATCTCCGCCTCGTGCTCTGCTGAATGGTCTGACAGATGACCAAAGACACTCGTCCCGTTCGCTGTGGTGTCCTCCGCCAGCCAGTCTGAGCTGTTGCCAGCCAGGTGGGCCAGCCAGTCAGAGCCGTTGCCCACAGAGTATGGGTGAGTGTCGTTGTCCGAGCCTAAACCGGTCAGGTTCCCTATATCACAGTAGTCTTCCTTCAGAGGGTGGGTGGCAAAAATCTGGGGAGAGGCGAACATAGATTGATGAGTACTGGCTAGTCATCAAGAGTCCTTTTACCCACACAGCACAGTAAGACACTGCTCAAAAATCACTTCTCTGTAAAAAAAAAAACCAACCTACAGTCCTGTACTTCTATTGACATCAGTACTTACCCTCTGATTTTTTTTCTTTACATGGATTCAGTAATAACCATATAAGAATTAGATCTGTTTTAAAACATAAAACAAATTACCTGGTTAACAAGGGGAATAAATTCTACTAGTTTGTGAACTTTTCAAACATACACATTCCCAACTCACAGCCTTGGTTGTACATTAGACAACTGCCAACAATGTAGGTACCGTAATGCTTTGGGGGAAAACAAAATTTTACTCGACAAAATGAGCCATATTTTTTCAAACACTCTACAGTGCAAGCTGCAAGATGAGAAAACACCAAGCATAAGACACACTAGACAGTCACAACCCTGTACTGACCTACTAGACAGTCACTTCCCTCTACTGACCAGCACGACACTTTAGTTTTTAGTAGTTTTAGTAAGTGTTTTAAGGCACTTGCAACACAATAAGGTCATATAAGTGCCAAAGACTAGAGGTGTTACAAGAGAGTAACAAACACAAAAAAGGAGAGGAGACAAAGACGATAAGTGTTCAATAGGAAAGAAGAAGCAACCACACCAGAGCACCTGCCAACCACCCACTACAAGACACAATACAGTCACAACCCTGTACTGACCTACATGGCACTAGACAGCCACAACCCTGTACTGACCTGCATGGCACTAGACAGCCACAACCCTGTACTGACCTGCATGAGCTTCTTGACCACCTCGTAGATGAAAATGAGAGAGATGAGGATGGCGAAGATCTCCTCGGTGAAGCGGGTCACGTAGCGGACCAGGAAGCTGCCCTCCAGCGCAACAGCCAAGGTCGTGATGAGAAACACCCAGAAGCCGACCCAGAACCTCACAGGCAGGAACTCCAGACCGTTGGACACGCAGAACTGGGGGAAAACACCAGATAACTCCAGGATACAATGGCAAATATATAATTACATTATGGATTATAATAATTATAATATTAATAATGACTTTAAGACAACAATAATGATAAGTTACTATAATAATAACAATAATAAAAACCACAACAATAAATAATAATAATTTTTAATTTAAAAAATAAAAAATAATATTTTCATTTACATAGCAATTACACATGGAGCGTGCTCTATGCACTTTACATCTATGAACACCCCAGCAGACACTAAAACAAGACTGAGAAACATTCTCCGCACTCCTGGGAGCAAGCAGTGCAAGCTGTGGACTAAAGCACTAACAGACTGACCAAACCCCCCCCCAAAAAAAACAACCAAAAAAGAAAGAGAACTTACCTTATAAAGTGATTCCTCAAAGACAAGCACGGGTCCAGTCGCTCCCAAGATGAGCAAGGGTTGGCCACACAACAGACTGAACATCATGCCAAACACGGAGGTTGCTATCATTGTCTCGCTCACTCCCATCAGGCTGTGCGTTTTCTCACCTGGCCAGACAAAAACAAAAATCACTCGTTCAATGAAAAGTCCCACTCTTATTACTCTTAAACAGAAACTTAGAGAACAAAATCAGAAGAAACAAACTGTCAGCTCAAGGAAAGAGATGAATATGTATGCATATCTTGTCCTGAGAAAAATGTATTTTCAGGGCAAGGTTTATTAGGCAACTCTTGGACATAGGGCATTGCAATTGCGGCAAAACTGCTGGGTGGATTGGTTTGGTATTGACAGACATAATGCAATATATTGTTTGAATGCTTTTATTATGGTATTTTTTGGCATTTTGGTCAAAATAAACATGGTCACTTCTGGTTCTCAGCCAACGAAGTAGGAAATATCATTTAAAAACTTAGCAAATTGCCTTGCCCAAATAGTCCCATACATTTTTTCCTTTTCTTCTCCTCCCCTCTCCCTTCCCTGCCGCATAGAAGTACCTTAGGATCACAAGTGAAATGCACAATGACAAAAAAATGAGGTTAACCACTATGAAGCATACATTTAACCAGGCATGAAATCATGTTCAGGTTAAAGGGAAATATGTCTCATTTAGACGAAGGGACTGGATCCCCTGTCTTTGTCTGACAAATAGTCAAACCTGCTTAAACGACCACCTGTCAAGGACAATCACTTGTACAGGCAACCACTTCCCACATGCGTTTTTTTTCTTTATCCTTTAATGCCACTGTCCAAGAGGATCATCCGTCTAAGAATACCACTTTTCTCCTTCACCATAGGAGGTCATCTTGGAAAAATTCAGCTGTACCATTTCAGAACAGTTATCAAATCCAAAACACACACTTACTCAACAATCCTCCGAAGGCAATGCACGGAGAGAGGCAGGTGAAGAAGATGAAGAAGAGGGCTGCGATGCTCTGCTTGTTGGCCGCATCCTTGATGTCGCTGACGTAGTGCGGGTAGCGGCGGCGAACGTCGTTGATGACCCCGCCGAACAGACAGCCCGTACGTTGTAGCGGGTCGTGAGGGGGCTCCTCCTTTTCTTTGTCCTTGTCTGACAGCATGGCTGAGGGCACGGAGAGGGGGAACAGTCGGTTAGTTTTAGTTTTAGTAAGAGTTTTACAGCACTTGCAGCAGAATCAGGTTGTATAAGTGCTGAAGATAAGAGGTGTTTACAAGACAGTAACAATCACAAAAAAAGGAGGAGAGGTAAGGATGATAAGATATTTGATAGGAAAGAAGGAGCAAACCTCACCAGAGCATCCGTACCACCCGCACGGTTGGTAAGAGAAGACAATAAACGAAGAAATGGAGAAAGAAAGAGAGAATACCGTAGGGGACAGGGAAGGATGAAAAGGGTGGGGGAAAGGGGGAGACAGACAGACAGACAGACAGACAGACAGACAGACAGACAGACAGACGGACGGACAGACAGACGAGCAAAACAATGCAGAAATAAACAAATATAGCAATTTTCTGCATTGGTAACTCAAGAGTTATTTCCCAAATTCAGGATTTTTTTTCTGATGAACGTTTATATGGGCAAAATACAAAATTTCCACAGAAAACAATTAAGCACAAAGAAAGTCTGACCATGTTTCCTCACATCTTACAATCAACCCAATCACCCAAAATCCTCCTCCTATGCCACAACAGCCATACTTCATATTCTTTAAATTCCCCCCATTATTTTTTTGACACAATTTACTAATTGTATCACTGACAAAAACAGAAAAGAAATGGGCAGCGCTAAGGTATAATACAGTTGATTCGTAGTTTACGCTTGATGACAGCCACATTTTGGCATTAATAGATGAGGATTATGATAGTAACACATAAAAAAAGGAAAAGGAACAGGTCACATTTTTAGAGAGCAAAACAAACACCCATACTTTTATAGAATTAATAAGTCCATAGGGTTGGTTTCATGCAATAAGTTACAGGGAAGTAACTGGAAACACATCAACCCAATTCCAGGTGAACCTGGATATACATCGCTCTAGCGCTTTTAGTACGAGTTTTACGGCACTTGCAAAACAAATTGGTCACAATATAAGGGCCAAATGTGAGAGATTTTACTAGAGAGAAACATACAAAGAAAAGAAGGAAAGATAAGGACGATAGATGATTAATAGGAAAGAAGGCACACACTGGTGGCAGCCTATCTGTAACACATTATGGTGTTTATGCTTGCTGTAGGACCAACACGCTGTAGCTGTGTACAACACAGGTGTTCTCAATGCAGAGCACATTGTTTTCTCAGAACAAACACGCCGTAGATGTGTACAATCCTGGTGCTCTCAATGATGTGCACATCACTGTCTTAGAAAAAAACATGTTGTAGCTGTGTACAACAGAGGTGCACACAATGTCGAGCACACCGCTTGCTGTAAGACAAACACGCCATTGGTGTGTACAATACAGATGCACACAATGCGGTGGAGCACATCGCTTTGCCATGGAACCAGAAAACTATATATCACAGGGCAAAGGTATAATCCCGTAGCAACATCTGTGACAAGAGCAGCGGACTACAACCTCTAATGAGAATTAGTTCCGATGGAAGTGAAATGGAGTCTTTAACTAAAGCAAATACCTAAATATTTGAGTAATGATCTATGCATACAACTGGAAGATTTATTTATGAAGTGCATTTGAAAAGGTCCGTTCCCAACATAAGATTAAGAGTAACCAAACATTTGATCTTTTCTGAAGGTAAAAAAAATTGCTATAAAGGAACAAAGGAGCCATTTTTCTTCACTGATGTGTGAGTAGCCAAAAAGAAATTGTAATCAAATTGAAAATTCTCCCATTTCTCCCCCCCCCCCCCCCCCCCCCCCCCCCCCCCCCCAGGAACCACTTACTATTTACAAAGTTGACGAAAACATCAATGAAAGCAATGACAAAAAAAAAAGCTCTTAGACACTTTTCAGACAGAGACTTGGGTCCCTTTAAAGACAAAGATGGCACTTAAACCTGTGCGGTATCTGTGCAGGGTTAGCGGTGTAAGAGCACAAGGAAACTTTGAATAATACTTAATGAAGCTCACAGCAGATATCATAGCAGTAAATACACCTTATTACACAGACAAAAAGGCAACGTTTAAATAACATAAGCTCACAATACAATTCAGTGCAAATACTTCATCCAAATGTAGCTGCACTAAATCTAACCAAGCAACAGATTTTGGCAATCTCATTTTTTTCTGAATGAACAGACTGATACTTAAGTATTTCAATAAAGTTTGGAAAAGGTATGCTGAAGACAACAACAACAAGAAGACCTTTCAGAGACATCCTCACTGTACACAACACTGTACACAACCGAACACTGTTTTAGTTTTGAGTAAAGAGAGGCATATGAAGAGTCTACAGGAAAAACGGGCATAGTCACAAACTGAAAATCATAAGGGTGTGAATTTTAAAAGCTTGTGGACTCATAACTTCATATTTGATTGATTGGTGGTTTATTGTTATATTTGTTGAATGGGAAATCTAACAACAATAATCAACCAACAGTTGAACAGAAATACAGTTATGGGTCAACAGGCGTCCAAAATTGATACCATCGCGATTTTCAGTTTGTGACTAATCTTGTTTTTCCCGTCGACTCCTCATATGGGAACGTTAAGTCATTCAGTGTAAGAGGAAACGGCAAGACAGACAGATAGACAGAAAGAACAGAAGGAGAAAAGAAGGAGTAAGACTTACTAATTGAGCCCTCCAATCTCCTGCACAGGAAACTATGCATATTGGAAAACCCGGAGTTACTCTACTCAACATTCGAGTCATAAACGCTACAATTTGCCATAGTTAAACGCCAATATTCTTCAATTAGCCTCAACTTGTTTGTGAAAGTTTGTTAATAAAATTATGCAAAACATTCATCAGGCACAGTGAAGGCAGCGAATATCGACAACAAAACCAAAATAATTACTGCCAATTCTAACTCCAGAAAGGCAAAAACATGCCAAGAAACAGTAGTGCCTGACCTGAGGCGACAAAGCAACAGGTAAACACGGTACCTTCCACACAAGGACCACGGGTAAAGCAACAGGCACAGACAACTAGAACAGGAAGGCACTCCAGGAGCTGTTGTCAAACTACACTCACCCACTTACAGAACAGAGGGTAATAATAATATTAAATAATAATAATAATAATAATAATAGTCATAAAAATGATGATAATAACAATAATAATAATAATAATGATAATAATAATAATAAAGATAATAATAATAATAAAGATGATGATGATAATAATAATAATAATAATAATAATAATAATAATAATAATAATAATAATAATATTACAACATGCAGTTGGTCTGTCAATGTCTGACGAAGACCAATGCATCTGTAGAGAAGAATATTTTCTTAAATGAAGTAGAAGAAATATAAGGATCAAGATCACTTGTGGTTTCTGCTATGGCCAACGAGACCAATTCTGGAAGATAAAAGTTTGCCACATTCAGAGAACGTAAAAAAAACCCTTTTCAGGTCTTATAGGACCAAAATCACAGTTCCTTGCTCTTTTATTTCCTACTAAGTTTGACAATTTCTTGACGTCGTGTCATCACTATTGCCTCACTTTTGTTTATGTTCGTTTGGGCTTTTTTCTGATCAATGCCATAATCAACATTGAATGAAACTCAAAACGATTTTTTTTTTCTTTATAAAAAAAATAACTGATGGTTCCTCAAGGAAATTTGTTCCTAGCAAGTGTAGTCACAGAAAGTGGAACTGGTCCATTAATCTTGAAGTTGGAGAGATGGCGCACCTTCTTTCCTTTCCCATCTGGATTATTTTCTTCATCAAGTTGTGTTCTTCAGCCCACTCTCCACGAAACAGTATTTTCTTCATCAAATTTTTAACTTTAAGTGCCTGATTCCATGCAAATTCTTTATTTGCGTTGTTTTTCACAAATGAAGAAAAAGATATTCAAGTCATATTCCTTCATTGAGAATGATTAATTGAACAAGCTGAAAAGTAGCGTGATTTGACACAGTATCAAAAGCTAATGGTAAAGGTGCAAACATAGAAATGCGTCTGACTTTTGTCTGGTTTACTCATGAAGTGCACATAAAACTAACCACAACCACTAGAACCTGTAACAGGACACAGGTTTCAGAGAAAAAAGTGAAATGAACAATAAAGTGAAAGTTGAAGATCATATCCTATTAAACCTTCATTCTCTCCACCCCCCACCCAACCCCAACACCTCAAGTTTTGTATAGAGCTCACATTATTCCGGTCACATGCGACGATCACTCGCTGGCACATCCAACAGATCATGCCTTAAGATACTGCTCGTTAAACAACAGAGTCTCAATATTTAATATGTGAAAAACTAAACAACTAAACAAGTATCAGTAGGCAAGTCAGGAATCACTAGCTGCGTGTTGCTTGTAATTAAAGACGATTATGTTTTCACTGAGGCCAAACAGAGACACCTGAACAAGTTTGAATCAACAGTTCCCCAACGATCTTGGTGGATCAGGTTTGGAATTGGAGTGCACTGTAAAATGCCAAAGTCCTTTAAGCCAGAAAGAATAGGCCACCTGTCAGTATTTGCCTTCTGCAGATCTTCATCACTACACAACAAACAACGGTTATTACGAAAACAAGACATTACGTGCGACATCCTCTTCTCTCGTTTCTCTACAACATTAAAGACACTTGTTACATAGAATAAACTCAGTCAGTCAAAATGTTCAAAGAGAAACAGAGCTCCTGAGAGCTTGAGGAATCTGGAAAGCACTGAGTTAATGAACATCTTCCTCTGAGGCAAACAGATGTTCAAATACAAATGTTTTCTAAGGCCTAAGGATTCTGGAAAGCACTGAGTTAATGAACATCTTTTTCTGCGGCACACATCAGCAGGAAATGAGGTCAGCAGCTGACCTTTGTCCACTAGCAGCAGATGGACAAGCGTCTACACTCATGCAAGTTACTTACTCGGGACTTCTGCCATGCCTTTCAAGGAGAACATTGAAATAGCAATACAAACTTTTGAAACTGAATGGCAAACAAAATAAGTCAAAACAAAAATGACAAAAACATTTTGAACTTTTACTTTTGGAACAAAACCCCTTTAAAATGGATTTTAAAAACTAGCATGAGACAAAACAGTAAGAAAACCTTCGTGTCTAGGGGATGGGAACAATGAAACTGGGAAGTTGGGAAAGGTCACATCAAAGGTGAAGAAAAATAGGCAAAAACCAGCTAGTTTACAACTTCATACTTCAGAACTATGGGTCAACAGCTCTTTCAGAGAAACAAAACTATTACAGAAAAGAGAAAAGCTTTTGACCAACTCAACACATTTGACTCTGCTAATGATTTATGCCCCTACTACCAAAATCTTGATTCTGTTCTCACGCGACTTCTTTGACCTTCCTTGTCAGGGCCAGCCCGGGTTTAGCGTGACACAACATTTAAGCAGAGAGACTGAAAAGCTCAATATAATAGAATGTGGCAATTGAACTCTTGTCTTTGGCATGCAACAGCAAATATCCTAACCATTACACTATAGATGACAGGCTGACACATCTATTAACCTTCCTAAGAGCAACAAGATGGTCCATTCAACACTCCTTGTCCGACTCACAAAGAATAACATAACAGTGAACAAAATAAATCCAAGGAACAAAACTCAAAGAGAAAGAAAATGTTTATCCTTCTGAAGGGTACTGTGCACATGCTCGCTGGTGAAACACAACTCCGTATACAGTATGTACGCAAAAACTTATTTTTCCCTCATTGGAAAGACTGAGGTGCAAAAGGCAAGCACCAAACATAGGGACACCAGCTATCAAAGTAAACGCAAAAGTCACTGCTAAATATTTGTATGATTAAAGTGACATTCACACAATGAAACCCATTTGAACTTAGTTAGAACCACAGCTGAAAATCAAAGCAGCTAGCCACCATAAGACAACTCATCAAGACTGCAATATATCCACCTCGCACACCTTTGAAGCAATTTTTTTTCCAAGGATGAAAGACTGCCAAGAACATTCTGAGTTTAAGACCAGCATGAGGAATGACGACTTTTAATGAGTACACAGAGAACCACGCAAGAGGTCCCGACCAAAGACCTTCTTCAATTACCCCCCCCCCAAATAAAAACAACTTTAACAACAGAGAACCATGGAGAATTGACCTCAGCTAAAATCTTTCCACATCCAGTTCCTCCCTCTTAGCAGTTTTCAATACGCAAAAATACAACAAACAAGCAAAAAAAAACTCAAACAAATGTAATCATGAAAGTTTTACGTACCCAGGAACTCTATTTAGATTATTTAGGATCAGGGCAAACCCAGGCTGAGTCAGACACAATGTCCCAGCAAAAAGACGGAGATACTTGATAAAAAATTCTCCCCACATGGGACTCAAACTCGCATCTTCTGTGTGCAACGGTGAAACACCTAACTGCTAAACTACACTACAGGTGACTGTTGGCAGTACACAAAAAAAGAAAATTGCTTCCAATAAGCCCCCAAATTTGCAAGAATAAGGAAAGAAGAAACTAAAAATAGAACCAGTTCCACTGGTTTGAAGACAGGAAGCTGTTGATAATTATATTATAATATATTTAAAACTGTCCAACAAGGGCATATCATTCTTGACATAATCTACTGCCTTTTTTGTTTTCCTTTCATTCCTTCAACTTTGAGCCCAACCATTCCCCCAGCAGCCCTTAAATTAATATTATAGTAAGTCATGGTATTTTGTTCAGCAAAATATATTTCCTTTTTTTCATGAGTGTCCAATGACATTCACAGACAGAATTTTGAAAGGTTAAGACATTTGTAAGCCATCACACTCTGCATAACATGACAAACAAACAAACAAACAAACAGGTACACAAATAATGGAAAGTGCAGAAGAGTGAAGGTCATGGCGCAAAAACCAAACCAAAAATACACAACTCCTACCCAAACGAGAAACTGAAGACTAAATAATGTGGCAAACAATTCATGTTTAAAAATTTGCAATTGCTCTTTCAACACAGCAAAGGTATGTCCATTCTTAGTCACCTTTCTTCCTGTCCTGCCTCTTTCTTTGAGCTGGCAATACAATGGCAACAATATACATGAGAAAAGATCTGTCAGTATCAGAAGGAAAATATTTAGAAAAAAAGTAAGGCCATATTAAAATTGTCTTTGCCTCAATAGCTGAGAAAGACTTGCTGAGAACAGACCAGGAAATTGTTTCCATTTTAACTGTTTCGATCTTTCAAGCAACGTTATTTAATGGAATACACACTGAGATTAATAGGAGTATATCAATTCCACTGAACAAAAACAACAGAAATTTGAACATTTATTTCATAATCAGACTAAGGATGTGACTCCTGAAGTGAAGCAATGTTATGCTTGTAAAAGAGAAAATTCCATCAAGGAGGAACTTTACAGGAGGGAAATTTTTTTTTCCAATGCAAGAGTTTTTACGCCCCTATCGACACAAGTTTACAGGAGAATTACACATCTGCCGTTGATAATCCACAAACAGGGAATTAAAACGGGGAAGAGAAAACATGCGAAATTCCTCCGGGGGGGGGGGCCAATCACTCAGTAGTTCACAAAAATCAGAGAAGAGAAAGAATTTATTGTTCCTATCCTCACCTTCCTTCTCCTCCGACTGTTGCTTCTTCTGATGTCGCAGCTGCGCTCGTTTCCGCGCCATGTGCGTGATGGGCAGAAGGGTGCGGTGGTCCCAGTCACCAGGGGGCAGCACAATGGAGTCCTCCAGGAAACTGTTGATGGCGCGGAGAAGGTCCTCTCTTGTCTCCGCTCGATAAGCTACGTTGTGAAATTGCTGTGGGAAAGGGACGTCAGAAACTTCTGGGTCAAAGATGCAAAACATTTTTCTTCAGCGTTTCTGAACCTCACCTTTCCAACGTTTCTGCATTCATACATAACGGCTTCCCTGGCAGGTTGACGGGACAATACACTCATTGTTTTCTACAAAGAAGTCATCATTGCTTTTCTCACCCTGGATCAGGGTATTGGCCATCAACAAACACTCTGCCATTTTTCTCAACCTTAGGCTAGCTTCTTGACATAATTCTATACAAAGATATTAAACCATTCTAATGATGGCATGAGACCAAAAAAATATCTGTACTCGGAAAAACATAGAAGAATGATCTCTACCTTCTGTTATTCTTCTTTTCTCTAACCACAAGACGTACTGTTCCACCTCTGAACTGCCCTATTTGTGCCTCCTTGGCAAAATTAACAAATCAATCAAGTGGACTGTAAGTTTGTCTGAATCAAGAGAATCCTGGAAGCTTGCCTCTGGCTACAGTGTACAGATGCAGTTTTTGGTGGAACTGTTTTCACATTCAACACATGAAAACAATCTTTATAGAAGTTTTATATCCAAGTTCAATGACAGCACCACATACCTTTAGTCATGTGCATCAGAGATGTGTTAAATTCGAAATGTAATCTATCTCACCCTTGAATAAGTTTTGACAAAAAGTACGCAGGAGAACATTGAGTAACATATATAAGGGACAAATTGTCTTTGGACCCTTCCTCAAGCTGACCCAATGCAATAGAAATCACTTTCTATTCTGGGTAGGCGTCTGGACACGCTCATGTTTGAGGTCAAAACGGTTTGGCATTTTGTGTTTTGACAGATGATTTTAAAGCAGTACGCATGGTACAGCTTTGCCTCAGTAGGAGACATAGAGGAAATAGAATGCCCAAATACTGCATCCCTCCCTTCAGATTTTGACTTCCTTGATATGCTCCAAAGGAGAGACAATATCACTATGTTCGGAATCAAGGAAGGTGTAAGGATGTGTCTCACTATTTTAGACACTATTTTAGAGTTGTGATAGGGACAAAATAATAATATTTTTATGCGTAAGGGTAGTGACAACCAACCTGATTAGACATGAGGGTGGAGAGCGAGCGGCCCACTTCATGGTAGTCCATGCCTCCTTCTGACGGGCCCAGCAGGACAAACAGAAACCTGCAAAAGAAGGAAATCACACACAGTGTAAGCATTAGTACCTCTCATTACAGACTTGTCACATCTTTATTGGTGTCACAGATTTGATGGTGAGGTCGTGGACGTATTTTTCAAAGTGACCAAACAGAAAGCCTGATCTTATCTAGAATTTATGATGCTATCAGAGGTGCCAACTAATAGGTAAAGATATTCTCATCAGAGGAGCCAACTTGTACATAAAAATATTCTGAACTTTTCAGACCCCGTGGAAATCCATGAGAGGAGACAAAATTAACTTATCACGTTGTTTAATACTTATTGTATCAAGAGGTTGGATAAAATTCTGACAATTTCAGATGTAGAAATTTATCCTGTAACCCTGCACCACTGTGATATAGCCTGCCCACTGACCTGACGGGGAGAGGCACTTCGGTGAGGTTCTCCAGCACTTGTCCCTCGGCCAGCCGCACAAAGGCCATGGCGGGTTTGGTGAGGAAGCTCACCTGTCCCACCAGCACAGTGCTAGCCTCTGAGCCTGGGGGGACACAACAAAGCTGGCATTAACAACAGGACAAAGACCATTTCTGATCATCTACATTCTCAACAACATCACAGAAAGCTACTATAAGAGCAAACCTGACAAGTTTGAATAATGTATATACAATTATGCTTTCCTTTTCCAGTACAATTAAGATAAGTGTTCATTAAATTATAAGTAAAATCTGCCATCACTGGTAAATGTGCTTTTTACCCACTAATTTCAAGTTTAGCAAGTACCAAATTCATAAAAATCATGGTAAACATCTTTTGATCAGGCGGGGGGGAGGGATGGAGGAATGGTCAATTGATAATGGAACCTTGACCCTATGAAAATGGCTGACAGCTGCGGTGTGACTTTCATGAAATGGTACCTGATGCTACCCATTTTAAAAATCAAGTAATAAAAAAAAACCAAAAAACAAAGTATATCTGTCTTATCTCCTTCAATATATTTTACCAAAAATGCCTAAATGAAATAATAGAAGTATTTCGTCTGATTCCTTATATCATGGTGACCGATGGCTTGCTGCCATTGCAAATCCCCCAGCCCCCTCTCCAGTCTCTTTCCCCATGTCCGTGGGCAGAATCCAACCTTTGGGGATCCTCCGCATGATGTCTTGTACATGTTTCTTCTGCTCCACCGGTGTCAGGCCAATGTGGATCCCGTCAGAGAGTTTGTCCGTCTGGAGACGAAACAGTTGAAAACAAATAATGAGAACTGAGCTGTGTAAATCATATTTTGAAAAGAAAAAGGGGGTAAGGGGACATGTGACAAGATATAGATAACATTCAACACTGAAAACAAATTGAAATGTTGACATTATGCATGCAAAGAGGAACATTATTCATAGTAGTGTAAACTTAATGCCCATTTCAACCAAAGTTCAGAACGGCCTGTTGAGGATTCGAACTGGGGCCATCTGCTTCAAAGCCTGGCAAGATATCATCAGCGCTAAAGGCCCATCCAAAGAAGAACATATCAAACAAGATATCAAAGTCATGGAATTTCATACTGTATGGAGAGACTTTTGAAGTTTCTGGAAAAGTGCTTTGGCTTCATATGAGATAACATCAAACTATCTTATATACGTAAAAACCATCGAAAGTAGCAAAAAGAAAAAATCTAAACTGCTGAAACAATATAGTCCTATAGACTAAAATCAGTTTCAAACCCAGCCTCATTCTCTCCAAATGACCTCACAAAGTGAACATGTTGCAAATGGGGTCTTTGGCACACAGAAATATCTGTACACTTGTTGATTTAATATAAAACTCAAGAAATTTCTAATAAAAACAGTTGAGAGTAGAGTTACTCGCTTTGCAGTCTTTTACATGGAGAATAATAGATCTCCCTCATATAAACGTTTAACTTTCAAGAATTAAGGTTATACGGTAGCCATATATTCTAAAATTTACCATATTTCAGAGTTGCACTAAAATTAGTTTTGTTTAAGAATCTAAAATCAGATTACGGGTGTTCTTTGTGAGTAGCTTAGGACAACACACAGCACGCACAGCACAGTGCTAACAGAACTCAAAACATTTCCGTGATGTTTGTTAACAAAGCAGATTATTATACTCCAAGACTTAGGATAAAAAGTACATATGTATCTTTACTCTTCATTTTCATGAATTACGATCGGGGGGGGGGGGGGGGGGGGGCAACAGCACAGAAGGGATTGCTACCTCAGAATTACAAAGTTTTATCTGACATTTTTGGCTGTTTGGAGTTACTAAGACAATGACACCAGAAACCAAATGTTCTATCTGCTCTATCAAAATCATAAGATTATTGGGAGCTGTTATCAAGACATTCAAAGAATTGCATTCGAAAAAGCTTAATCAATATGTGAAGAAATCTTTGAAGACAAGTTTTAAAAAAGGATAGAACTTTGTAATTCTGGGGTAGTGATATATCCACATATACTTGTATTTCATTTTATTTTTAGGGAGGATTTTTTTCTGATGTTGAATGGGCCCACATGAGAAGAATATGCAGCTTGTACTGGCGCCATTGAGCAAAACTCAAGATTCTTCCAACAGGGAAGAACATAAACATTTACGACATACCTACATGTGATCAGAAGTAGGTGTCCGTCTAACAAAGGTCTCATCCCCAACATGAATTACAACAAACACACAATTCATAAACGCTTCAGGAAACTCTGAGCCATGTGTCAAAGAAAAACAAATGGCAACCAAGTCATCTGAGACAGACTTCAGAACAAACACTGCACAGGTGAAATCCTTTATAAATCTTACAATCTGATTTTGGTCGTTTCGGGGGGAGGGGTGTTGTTTTTGTTTTTTGTTTTCTTGGGGTTCAATCAGAAAGTGTTTTACTGCACTTGCAATATAAATACATCACATATGATACGTGCCAAAGATTTGAGGTTCTACTAGATAGTAACTAACATAGAAAAGAAGGAGGAGAGATAGATCTCATACTTGTGATAGGAAAGAAGGAGCAAACCACACTTGAGAGCACCCACTGACCACCAGCAAATACCATCATATAATTGATTTAAAAAGATGGAGAATTGCAAGAAATACCAGACTGGCAATCTCCACATCCCTCATTCTCCCCTGGGCCTATTATCAGATTGTCGAAGACTTAGACCTCTATGTTTGCCTTTTGAATTTGGGAAGTTTACAAATTCAAGAAAAATAAAGCAAGGCAAGAACCAGAAACAAAGGTTCAAGTTCAATCATTTTACAAAGACAAGAAACAGACAAAGACGTGCATAAAACCACTCAGATTCAATTACGAAAATTGGTAAGAATTTGTCCGCATGTCAGCAGCGACTCACTTTATGCATGCTGTTGATGAAAGCCATCAACAAACACAACAACAAAAAACCACTCATCCCCACCCTTTCCAACTTTTAACAAAACAAAACAAATTGAGTAAAAAAAAAAATTAAACGGATCCTATACCATTGTCTTCATCAACTCAAAGCAGCAAGAACATTAAAGAGACAGAAATAAATTGAAAGGACTCGCTGGTAAACCTGAAACTTGTGGAAGCAGTACGACCTTCTTTTGGGGCACAAGATGTGATCGGAACGTAAATGTTCCACGCAACCTACCGGACCCAGGTGGCATAGAAACACCTGGTGTAGAGAGGGTCATGGCATGAGTCATACAAGCAACTTAATACAGGACACATGACAAAGTATCAGACTCATCACTTCACTCAACAGGCAGGTAATACAATCAAAGAATCAGACTGGCTCCTACGATATAGCAGTTGGACACTTCGCCATTGCACATAGAAGACTCGAGTTCAAATCCTAATTTAAAAGAATTCTTATTGAGTATCTCCGTCTTTCTGCTACGACGTATCCCTCTCAGCCTGGGTCAAAGCCCGTCTCCTAAATGATCAACTTGGGTCAATGGGGGGCGTAAAAAACATATAGAATTATCATTCTTTTTCAAAGAATCAGTGTGTTCGGGTGCTGTATACACCTTGGAAGAACTCCAAGAAATTATTGGATAGGCAAAATTTCATTACAATCTTCCAATGAATTAACCCTACATCACATACATTCCTTACAAAAACAAAATCAGGTTCCCAAAATTCTAGAAATTTCTGCACAAAGTGTGAGCCCCATTTCATTAAAAAATGTATTATAACCCTCACGTCAGATATCAGTGAGCGGAGATGCGCAAAAGCATATTGATCAGTACATGCTTTTACACATCATGCACACAGGAAAAGTTGAAAATCAAAATAGAAAACAGAAGAAAAATACTATGAGACAGATCAAAGTTTACAGAGCTGTTTTTCTTGAACGCTTTGAAAGAAATCTCAGAAGGATATTAGTGGGCTATCGAAGCTTTTTCGCTGCTTCCATCTGTTGGTCTATTCATTATCTTTCTCTTGAAGAGATAAAGAGGGACAAAGATACCTGTGGGTATTTGTTTTTGCTTCTACAATACAAGAGGTCCAAATTTTTATTTAGTCCCACCACAACAACAGACATATAAAGAAAAGTTCACAGACGAAAACAGGTGAGATACAAAGTTGACTTTCTAGACTGATAATCTTAAAACGACAATATAGAGAAAACAGATACACTTTTCAAAAAAGGAATATAAAAAGTCTCTATCTACACAGAAAAGACAAAAAGTGCAAAAAGGAGTTTTTGATGATTGTGTTCCAAAAAAAAAAGAGACAGCCAGCTTTTCACATGTACAGCATACAGCCTAAAATAACTGAATTAAAAGGAAAGTGAACACAAGATATCTTCTAAGTATTAAACTATATAGACTGAAGAAGGATTTAAATCTTTCAAGGAAAAGCACGTCGAAAAAGAAAAGTGAGGATATGGGCAAAAGAAAGGAAAAAAGTTAGAAAAAAGTAGGCCTATACACTGATTGATTTCCAACAATCCGCAAAAGGCAAACTACAATACTGAAATGCAAGGGGCAATAACCCTCATGTCTGACAAGAAGAGCCTTTTCTTTTCTAAAAATCTTAAGATCTTTCTTCATAGGGATTATATGAAAAGATTCCAGTGAGACTTCAATGTTCCTGCACCTTTGTGGCAGGCAAGAACACAAAAGGTGTCAGACAACAATAAAAGCTCAAGAAAAATGGATAGATCTCTACACACATGGAAAAGAAATTCTTGTGTGGGTCAGGGGAAGAGGCGTTTCCATGCCTACCTTCACACCATTCCTGCTGTGCAGTCTCTTTTGCACAACAAAGGGCTAACCTTCAATTATGCTAATGGGTCAGGAGTAAAACTTACATGTGTTCACGAGGCTGAAACTAGCAAAAACTCATTTTTCTTTGAATGGGAGGGGTTTGGTAGGTTGGGGAGGGGGGTGGATGTGATATTTGACAGTAAAGATCAATATGCAACCTTTACACAAATACTTTGCTAATACTATAACAAAATACATGAATAAAAAGCCAAAAAGTAAGAAAGAACGGGAAGTTTGTAACACAGCACTATAGAGGACAGCAAGGTAAACTAGGAGAGAGTAGACGCTTTAAGTCTGATTTTTGTGGAGTTAAAAGCCCAGTCTACAAGGCACCCAGCACTTAGTTGTCCACTAGTGCCCAGCACGTGCTTCTCACAAGATAATTGCACAACAGTCCAACTCTGAAGCTGCACTCCACACAATACTGTGAGGTGGGGGTGTGATCTACAAGCATAGAGGGGAACACGTACAGAAAGCCAAACATTTTTGCATCATTAAGAAATGACGATAAAATTCAAACAAATTTTTAAAAAAAACGCAGCCAACTACAATCCACTTCAAAAATAGATGCTGCAAAAATATATATATATATATATATATAAACACACGCATGAGGTAGCTGAAGATCACAGAGCAGTTAAAGGCAATGAGAAAAAAACAATGCCTGAGGTAAGTAAATAAATCTGCGAGAAAACACGTGTAAAAAAGGTCAAAACGGAAAAACAAAACCAAGCGAGCCAAAACTGCTATTGTTACCAGGTTGGAGTGCTCGACGGTGGTAGTGGCCACCACGAAGGGTGGGTGGGCGGGCTCACCATTAGTGGGTTCACCATTGGCGGGCTCACCGTAAGTGGGTTCACCATTTGTGTGGTCACCACTGGCTGGCTGCGAGAACGAGATGCGTACGTTACACACACACTTTTGACACAGAGAAAACACGCGAGTGAGGTGAGGCACGACTACACACAGGCAGACTACACATCCCTGTCCAGTTGGACCACGTGTTCAGTTGTGGGGGCTTTTTCTTTTCCTTTTTTTGGGGGGGTTGTTCCGGACCGTTTCTGAATGTGGGTGGTAGGAAGGCTGTACAGGTAGATCCTACTTCTTTTCTTTCTCTCTTTTGTTTCTGTCTGTCTGCTTTGCTTTTTCCCAGAACAAATAGACCAGTGTCGCGGTGATAGGCTTCTCTTTACTTTAAAAAAAAAGTTTCTAAAAGCATAACCTTCATAAAAATGATACTAAGTTTACAGGCATGACTCATACAACCCTGATGTATCCTTAACTATGTATTTGCTGTCTATGTTAGCAGTGTGATGGACATGATTTGGGCCATCCCATGTGAAATACATGAGTTCAGTACCTATGAGGCAAATTTTTTGTTTTGTGTTTGGGTATCTTTGTCTTACCACCCTACCCATCCCAAGTTGATATTTCTATATGTCTGTGTCCTTTGCAACAGCCTAGGTGCAACTGGTCTGTTGTCATTGATTCTGTTCTCCCATTCTCTCCTTTAAATATTTTTATTAGTTAGAACTGTGTAACAGTTAACACTCTTTGACTTCATACCTTATTGAGACTGAAAACATTTCAATGGAATTTTCTTTTAGGGGTATAATGCTAAGAGCAATTTAAATGAGAGATGAAAACAGCTTGAATATTACCGATTCCTTTCCAGAAATATCCTTTAAAGAACCAAAAGAAACTGGGAGTCTATAAGAGTCCCCAGTCGACCGAAAACAACATGATGCTCACAGCAGAGACGAACAAGAGCTATCTACCATGCCTGGTAAACAAATCTGAGCCACAAACAGTTCAAGTTTCAATTTTTCAAGAGACTGAAAGACTAGCTAATAAAATCACTAACACACTTCAAAGACAGCATTGCTGCAGCAGATCATGAAAAAGCACCTATATTTGCAATCTTTTGGTTTGAAGTGGCTAAGCTAATAAAACAAATAAAGTGACAAGTTGTTCTTGTTTATAATTGACAGAGAACAGATCACTGGGGAAAGAACACTTAAACAAAGAACAGATCAGCTGGGAAAGAACACTAAAACAAATAACAGATAAGTAGGGAAAGAACACTCTAACAAAGAACAGATCAGTAGGGAAAGAACACCTCAACAAGAACAGATTGCTAGGGAAAGAACACTTCAACAAAGAACAGATCAGTAGGGAAAGAGCACTCCAACAAAGAAAAGATCACTTCAAAGACTGATCAGTCGGCCTTCCAAGTGGAGACCCAGCAAGCAGAGAGGGAATCCTCTACTCCGGGAAGAACTGACAACATCACGATACAGCATACTGGGTACTGGCAGTTGATGGGTACACAAAATAAAGACAGACATCTGATGGAAATTGTGATACTATAAGGTTGTATTTTTTGTCAGTAAAGAGAATCACATCCATAAAAATGCAGCTGCTCAATTTTGTAAAAAAGAGGACAAACAGAAAATAACTGAACGGAATGAAAGAAATAGGAAAGGTGTTGCCCTCCAACCACCTGCCCTATAAGAAAGAAACAGGTTAGAACAACTGCACTTCAAGTAGAAGCTACAAGATATGAATAGATCTTGATGAATTTGGGGGAAAAAAACCCCCCAAAAACAAGCCCTCTGACACAAAGAACGTCGTATAGGTTATAATTTGGAAGAAGGAGAGACAACTGAAAGGAAAGGAGAGATAAGCAAGAAAAGGGTGTTAGATCTACCTGAAGCACTTACTAATAACCTGATAAAATCTATTAAAAGAGCTGGTTAGCAGAAAAAGGCTGAAGTCACACTGCTAATTCAAAGACGTAATTTCAAAGAAAAAAAACCCATAACATATTATTTAAAACCTTCAACAGCCCTAGACAGTAAACACTAAGGAAATGTATCAGTTTAATACTAGCCAGTGAATGACTTAACATTACAAAGACAATTGTAGATCATAAGTGAGACAGGTCATATTTAACAAATTGATGACAAATTCATCATTTTCCCAGCCTGACAAAGCATAAACAAACCTTTTTTCATTACTAACCCATTTTCTAAAAATAAATATTATACAGCCCCCCCCCCCCCCCCCCCCCCCCGCAAAAGCCCCCACTCTGCCATTCAATTTTCTTTGTAAATTTTGGCTTGTAAATCCAACAACATACCCAGGTGCCAAATTGAGAAGGTAAAAAATAAAAATAATAGAAAGCACAAGAAAGAAAATGAAAAGGTCTATGATAACCTTCATAACCATCCTCTCATATACATTCTTTTACTGGCAGTGGGGCTTTTTTAATTACTTGTACAATTCGAACACATCCACCTCTGCCATTTTAGAGACAGCTTTACCGCACTAGCTACACAAATAGGTCGTGTAAGTGCTCGAGAACAGAGGTGTTAATAGATAGAAACATACAAGGCGTGATGTCAACGGACATGACTCTTATCTTTACTGCGGGGACAAGATAATCCCGCGGCTCAATGTGAAATCATCCAAGGTCGTGCTACTCCCTTAATTATCTTGTCCCCACGGTAAAGATAAGAGTCATGTCCCTTGACATCACAACAAGGAAAACAAGGAGGAGAGATAAGTACGATAGACGTTTGACAGGAAAGAAGGAGCAAACTGAACCAGAGCACCCACAGACACCCACCATCTCCACTGAGGTCAAACACTGTGTGCACAGAGGTGAAGTTGAGCACGAGTTGGAATGCTCAGTGAACAAATATCGGAGACTTAAAATCTAAAAATAAAACCACTTCAATCCTCTCAAAACTTTTGGCAAATCTACAAAAACATCCATCATAGTGTTTTCTATTTTCAACACAAATTTCATGAATAGAGCTGAAATGTACACACATGCAAACATCAAAAGGGACAATAGTAAAAACAAACAATTACAAGAACAGTACAAGAGCCTTCTACATACAAAGGAATCCAGAAGTCCAATAAACCCGCTGCCTGCAGTAGCAAAACCCAACCACAACACAAAAATAATATTACGCATCCCTCAGCAAACAAACAACAAAAACGTACTCTTTCAAATATACAGTGACAAGTATAAAAACCAAGCACTTCAAACTCTAAACACCATCAATACTCTCTCACTTCCAGTAACCCCTTCCCTCCACTCTAACTACCACCATCCATCACCAACAATAACCCCCCCCCCCCCAACACTCACACACACACACTCTAATAACCATCACTGCTAATCCACTGTAACAAGCAAAATCAGAATCAACAACAACACACCCGCCCCCCTAACAATCACAACCACCATACCCCCTCCTCC